GACTCTGGGCCCTGTCCTGCTGTTGCCTGTTCCCAATATGACAAGTGTGATTATCAAAAGGCCTATTTTCCAGAGATTTTATGAGACAACCTGCAATTTCCCATCCTTCCATAGGATAAAGCTTGTTGGTTCAGGAGCTAAACAGAAAAATGTGAATTGTGCAGGGGGACGCTCTTAATCCTCTCTGGTTATGCTAAAATCTTACATCAGAAAGAAGAAAAATAAGTAATACTGGAGGCAACATCAAAATAAAACTTAAACTAAATATGAACAATGAATGTTTTGCACGCAGCCAACCTTTTGCTCTTTGCCTTAGTTTCTTATTGCCGCTGTAACAAATTTCACAAACTTAATAGCTCCGGACAAAACAAATTTATTTCCTTACTGTTGTGGAGATTAGAAATCAGAAGTAGGTTTCAACGAGCTAAAATCGAGGTGTGAGTGGGCTGCATTCTCTCTCTCTCTTTTTTTTTCTTTTTAGTTTTTTATTATTTTTTCTTATTAAGTCATTTATACATAGATCATGAATGCATTTATGCCGTTATGGGATTCAATGTGTTGATTATTTGTACAAATCGGAGTGCTTACATCCTACTAATGAACATAGCCTTCACCTCATTCACCCAATTACAGTGTTAAGACATTGATGTTCTACACCTGATAGAGCCAACTTCCGCTTGCAATCTGCTCCATAGGTGTGGTCCCCCTATTAACCCTCCCTTGATCGACCCACCCCCGTCCTTTTTTCTTTTTTAAATTTCAGATTAATATGAGAGTACAAATGTTTAGGTTACACTGTTTTCATTTCTAAGGTAAAGTTCAAGTTGTAGTTGAGTCCTTCACCCAGGGGTCATGCTGAACACCCTCACGTTGTGCACATTAGGTGAGAACCCTCCAATCACCTTCCCTCCTTATCTCCCCTCCCCTTCATTAGAATACACTTGTGTTTTTTATGTGGCGTGTAGTTGGCTATATATTGGTTTAATACTAGTATTAAGTACATTGGATATGTGTTTTTCCATTCTTGGGATACTTTCTTAAGAAGGATGTGTTTTAACTCCATCCAGCTAAACACAAAGATGTAAAATCTACGTCTTTTCTTATGGCTGAACAGTATTCCATGGTATACATATACCACAGTTTGTTAATCCATTCATGGTTTGGTGGGCACCTGGGTTGCTTCCACTTCTTGGCAATTATGAATTGAGCCGCAATAAACATTCTAGTGCAAATGTCCTTGTGTTAAAATGAATCTCTTTCTTAGAGGCTCCAGGGGAGAATCCATTCCCTTATCTTTCCCACGGTGTGTGTATGGGTGGCTGCCTGTATTCCTTGGACCCTGGCCCCTTCCTCCTTCTGGGGGCCATCAGTGGCATCACTTTGATCTCCTTCTGTCCCTGCCTCCTCTGCCTCTGACTCTCTTGCCTTCCGCTTTCACATATGAGGACCTTTTGATTACATTGGGCCTAGGTGGACAATATAAAATGGTCTCCCAATCTCAAGACCCTTTACTTAATCATATCCTCAAAGTCTCTGTTGCCATGTAAGGTAACATATCCATGAGTTGTAGGGACTATGATGTGGGCATCTTTGGGGTAGCTGTTACACTTTTTATGGCTAATTTCATGGTTAATTTGGAGAGCTCTGCCAACAACAGAATGGACTTTCATGCCCTAAGTGTTTTATGCAACTTCTCATTTAGTCCTCAGAGTGGCCACCATTATCAAATCCATTGTATACATGAGGAAACTGAAGCTCAGAGAAATGAAATCACCACCAATAGCTTCACACTCTGGGGGGCATTTGCCCTTGTTTTATAATTAGCAGCCCCTATCCTGTCTTTCTCTAACTCCATCCCTGTCCTCTTATAGACATCTGTAACTATAGCCTCCTGTGACCATTGGTGGACCAGGGGAGACAGTCACAGATGAAGAGTTTTCCACCAGTTGGGTTTAAATCTTTTTGGTTGTTATTCTTCTGTCTAGATTTTTATTTCTCTTTTTATCCTTAATAGTCAATACTTTTGTGAACCTCAATCATTTTATTTTCGTAAATTTTATCAAGTAAATTCGATCTGAAGATTCTGGTTTGGTTTAGTCTAGGAAAGTGACTTCGTATGTCTTGCAATCTGATCTGTATTCCATCCATTCTGCTTTTTTCTGTTGGAGCAGATTCCTTATATGACCATTTTCTGTTGTCTGTGTTCTTGATCAATTTCTCTCTCTTCAATTCCTTTTATCTTTCCCTTCTTTGCCGTCTGGGTTATTTTTTCAAGCCTGTCCTTGGGTCTCTCATTTTCTGCTCTTTACTTGTAATGGCATGTTAGACTCTGCAAATGGCTTTTTTTTTCACAACTCTTCCCGTGGTCCCTTGGGGTTTATTTTCCTCTTAGGACTTTTCTTTATCCACTCTCCTCTTAGCTCATGTCTGGTAGGGCTCATGTGTTGTTATCTCTCAGTCGCTCCTTTTTAATCCCCTGAATTTTATGACTGTTCAAAATATCAAATGTCAGAGGCCAAGCCCTGTATGTCATGTCTGCTTGATTAAGCCACATGCATCTTTCTTATTTCCCTCCACCCCTCACTCAACATTCCTAACTCTACTTCTTGTCCCTGCCCCGACTTTTCCCCTCAGTTAAGAAATTGGAAGCAAAGAGGTGGATGCTGGTGTCATACCTGTTGCTCGTGTTATCCCACGTGGGGGAATGAGAATGCCAGAGGGGGTGAGAGATAGGGGAGTCCTTAGTCGATATCAGAACAACACACGGATGTTTCGAGGGCAGGAGCTGAAGCCAGATGCCTTGAATTCAAATCTTGCCTTTGCAGCTTCCGAGCTGTGTACCCTCGGGCAGGTGATTTCACTTCTCTGAGCTTCAGCTTCCTCATTCAAATGACGGAGGTAAGCACTGTGCCTACCTTATGAGTTTTCATGAGGAACAAATGAGAAGGCGTATATAACTCTTAGCACATAATGGCACTTAGTTGCTGTTAGCTTAAAAAAGAAAGAAGAGAAGAAAAGATAAAAGTACTTCTGATGCTATAAATAACTCGAGTTAGAAAATCTTCTCTTGAAACCTCATCACTCACTCATTCATATCCCCACAGTGTCCTGAAGTGCCGTGTTCAGTAGCGGGAACATGGGCTTTTTTTGGTGACCTGTCTCTTCTGAGACCCTCCCATACTCACTGGCCTCTTCCCCAAACCAGACCATGTTCCTCGTGTTTGCCAGAATTTCCTCTACCGCCTCATTGCCCTATCTTGGGAAGGGGCACTGCGTGTGGTGTCTGGTAGTTCCTCACAGTGGGGTCCACGTTCTACCATGTCTTGCAAAGGTGCATCCAGGAGGGAGGCAGGTGGTGGATGGCTTTAGTCCTTGTGCCTAGTCTCCTCCTCCATTTCCTTGTGATGGTTTTTGCTGGTCCTATCGGTTCCTTTCTGGCATGGGAGGGGGTTATGGCTATCTCTGCTGCTGTGGTTTTTAAAAAATTCTGTTGATTTTATTAGTTTTAAGTATAGAGGCAATACATGTTTAAGGCAGAAAGCCTGGAAAATGTTAACAGGGAAAAAAAACAGAATATCACCGAGGATCTCCGTGCTCAGTGGGGGCAAGTCTCTGTTGGCCACACCCTGCCAGTCAGGGCCTGGGTGACTCCGTGTTTCTTGGCTTCACGCTCGCTGCCTCCCCTCATTTGCTGCCATCTGGCTGAGCACTGTGGCTTCACCTGCTTCTCTGCCCCCATCCTGAAAAGTCACTGAAGGAGGTGACAGGAGGTGACAACGATGAAAGCAGCTGTGCGTGAGGCGAAACTGTTCACTTGGCACAGGAAATGATGAGGAAGGCTTAGGGCATAGGAATCACAAATCACAAGATTTTCCCAAATCCGAGCAGACCATCGGAATACACAATTTCATTTTTTGGGGAAAAAGTTCTTGGATTAAGGCAGGAATTATGGACAAGGTCTTGAAATTTGAAACCTTGGAAAAGAGACTCCTTTAGTCTGCATATTTTGAGAAGAGCAGCAAATAATCCACCCCAGATAAGGCTGGGAAGATTTAAACAGGAGATCTATGCAGAAATACTCAGCTCTGGGGCTGGCACACACTGGATGCTTAGTGAATACCCAGGGAAACTGCATCCACGCACAAGTACCTTACCAGTTGCCGTAACTTGGAAGTGGGAAAAGGTCTCATTCTTAGAACTCAAGATGCTGAAGACAGAACTCGTGTGCATTTACCTTGATTCTGCAAATGTTTACCAAGTTTGGAAGTTTCCAGGCAAGGTTCTGGGGATGAATAGAGGGAAGTCCTGCTTCTGGGAAGCTCATGGTCTAAAGTGGGAAACACTTGAAGGAACTTCTGTTCCATACACCAAGGCATGCTGAGCTTCCAGAAGGAGCTGTGATGTCATGGGAGCATACTAGCCATCGGGGTGAGCTGAACATGCATCTTTAAGAGAGAGGGAGTATTTGCAGGGACACAGGACATTCCAGGCAGAGGAAAGAGCACATGGCAATGAAGAAAGGTATTGAAAAGCTCCCATCCACTCATGGTGCCAGCGTGATACAGGTGGGGCTCAGAGGCTATGGGGTGGGGTACAGGGCACCAGGCATGGGGCCAGGAGCCAGGCTCTTTATTAGCACTCCATGGGGGCTGGTTTTCCATTCATCCATCCAGGTTTGTTGTGGGTGAGTGCTGTGTGTTCTGCTTCAGGGATAAAGGAAAATGGGAGGGGAGAAGGTTAAGAGGCCACATGCCAACACCAAATGTAGCCTGAGCCAAAGTGTTTCGAAGGAGCATTTGCCTTCTCTTTGCACCAGGCATCTGCCCTCTAGAATCAGCACACTGCCAAAGTTCAGTCTTGAATCATATCTTTAATCAACCACGGAAACCCCTCTAATAATGGAAAGTCCTGGGCCCCGGGGGGTGATGATGGGGGGCCCTCTGTGTTGGGAGCCCGTGACACCATGACTCCTTCTCTCTTTTTCCTCCTCTCTTCTGCAGCAATGGAATGGCAGGGACACAGCCCTCATGGTCACCCGTGTGGTCAACCATAGGCGCTTCTCAGCCACAGTCAGTGTGGCAGACACTGCCCAGCGCAGCATCAGCAAGTACCGCTGCGTCATCCGCTCTGACGGTGGCTCTGGAGTGTCCAACTACGCAGAGCTGATTGTGAAAGGTAAGTGCCAGCAGCCTGTGCCTCTTCCCCAGTGGCTGCAGTTCCCCGGTCTCTGTTGCTCCCTCCACACAGCCCTGTCTCCACCTACTACATCTCTACCTGCTCGGTAGAAAAGAGCAGGAATGTCTAATTACTCTTCCCTCCTTCTCCCAACATAGACCTTCAAAGAGCGATTACTATTATAAAATAATGCAACATTGCATATTATTCAAAGTTGGGTCTTGCGATATTTAGAAGAATATGTTCCAACTCCACCCAGGTTAATGCAAATGATGTGAAGCCACTATCTTTATTATGGCTGACTAGTATTCCATGACATGCATTGAATAATCCATTCCTGAGTTGATGGGCATTTAGGTTGTTTCCATGTCTTGGCAATTGCAAATTGAGCTGCGATAAACAATCTAGTGCATATGTCCTTAATATAAAATGATTCTTTTTTCTTCTGGGTAGATGCCTAACAGTGGGAGTACAGGGCCAAATGGGAGATCTAATTTGAGTGCTTTGAGGATTCTCCATCCTTCTTTCTAAAGAGGCTATATTAGTAAAGTATCACAAGAGTGGAAAAGCAAATATCCAGTGTACTCAATACTAATATGAAGGCAGTAGATGATCTAATTCACTCCCATATAGGAGAAAAACTCATTTCAATTCAACTTGGGGGAGAGAGAATGAGAGGGAGGTGGGGGGGTTGGGGTGCTCCCACTGAATGGGCACAATACAAGAATGTATGCCACACCTTTTGGGTGCAGGACATAACTACAAGAGGGACTCTACCCGACAAATTCAAATATTGTGATTTGGTTATTTGTACCCCCATATTAACCTGAAATTAAAAAAAAGTTGAGTCTCACATCAGGAGCCATACACAGGAGCCTGAGGATAGATGACAGAGAAGGTATCCCTAAATTTGGCCTTATTTTGTGTTTAAAGTTAGAATGAACAAATGCCCTTTTGTTTGGGTGGCCCTGTCTTGCAGTCTTCTCCTCCTGCTGTTTCTAAGGGATTTTTAATTGAAGACTCCATACAATGACAATATTTTAGGATGGCTTTTGACATAAATAATCCCCTGCCCCCCGGCCTTGATTCAATTCTTCTCCGTTTTCTTGTTCTCGCTCACCTTGAGAGTTGTTTACATGCTTTCCATTAAAATAGGCACCTGTTTTCTTTGCTCTCAAGAAGCAGGCTGTTCCATTTATTTTTTGAAGCCCTATGTAATCTTAGTTATCATGCGTAATGGTCGTATACTATTTCATCAAACGAGTTATCCTATTTTTAAAAATCCTCCCATTGGCAGTCATCCGGGTAATTCCAGGTGTTTTGATTTTTTTTTTCTTTCCTTTGTGTACATAACAATGAACCCCTCAGTGGAGTTCCGATGAGAACATTTTATTCCACTAAACCAGATTATTTCCTTAGGATAAATTCCCTGGAGGTAGACTTGATAGGTCAAAGAATATGAGCATCTTTATGGATTTTTCTTTGTGTTGCAATATTGCTTTCACAAAGGAAAAAAAAAACAGCTTGACAGTTTACACCGGCAGCAGCAGCGTATGGATGTACTTGCTGTACCCATGTTATGTTCACCGATTAAAAGTTTAATATAAGATCATTTGTTGAATGAAATAATGAAGCTATTCATGTTATGCTCTCCGTACAGTGACACCCGGTGTGTTTGGAGGGAAAAAACATCGATCAGGCCCCAGAGGGCCCCTTAGTTGGTTTCTTTGCTCAAAGGATGGGTTGGTGGATAAAGCTGGACCTGTTTTGCTGGCCTGTGCACCCGGGATCCCAGCCGGACCACACTGGGGGCTGCAGGCTGGGATTCTCTATACCATCTCGACTCTATGGATATCACATGCTGATGATGAGTCATCATTCGGGTCTCAGCGTAAATGTCACCATCTCATCCTCTCCTGGACAGCGTCCCCGGCCCCTCCCCTGCCCTCCTTCCCGGTGGTCACTTTCTGTCACATCACTTTGTCTCCTGCTAGCTGGTTATCATCATACTTTAAAGTGATAATTTACCTTTATTTATTTACTGGATGATTTTCCATTGCCCCTTGTTGGAAATAAGGTCTGTGCGGGGTGAGGGGATCATACTTTGCACAGCACCCAGAGTGCCTGGCTCTGAGAACGCTGAGCCACATCAAATTGCCAGTGTTCGACTGTTCCCACCTGCACGGTCAGTCCTTTCATAAGCCTCAACCTTAAGCAAAGTTGTGGAATAATGGATGAGTGAATGAACTATTGGCCTAAAAACAGGGATTCATCTCATCATGCCACGAACCCTTATGCTTAAGATGGACGAATTACTCATGAACAAAATAGGCAAAACTCCTCTTTACATGTATTGACACTGAGTGCCTCTGACACTGAAGTCTTTCCTTTGATTGTGTAAGACTCACATTGTTGTTTTTTTGGTGCCTTCAGACTGGTCTGTTAACTCAGTGGCCTTTGCGGGGTTTTCAGGGACTTGATAAGCGTGTCATCCCCTGAGCTGCCCTGATCCTGTGCTTCTTGTTCCCCTTCTAGCGGGCCTCCCATACCAGCAAATGGAACCAGAAAACTCTCGGTTTATTTTTTCCCTCTCCTCTTTTTCCTATTCAGTTGCAAGGTAAGGAGCGCTGGGAAGACAAATCCAGAGGCTGCTGGGGCAGGGGTGCAGTACAGTATCATTGCCTGTATTTGGAGAGGGAGCCTCCCTTTGTACTGGGGCAGTGATTTGTCCTCTGGTAGCCGAGCATCTTGGGCAGTATTAAGGGGAAGGGGCAGTGCAGCCTCTGCCTCAGTGTACCAGCCAGGCCTGTCACTATGGCCCTGCAGCCCCCACTGCCCTGGAGCTTGTCTCCTGTAGCATGTCCTGCTCCAGCTTAGGGGAGGCACCAGGTGGCTCTAGGTCTCCATGGTGGTAGTGGCACTCCCTGTAACCTGTCCCCTTCTATTAGACCTTCATGAGATTCATCCATATATTTGGCATGGGTTATCACTTCTCTTAGTGCCCATTGTATCCCCATTTTAATATTTAGATGGTAGTAAGACCTTGGTCCCTTGAATGTAGAGCAGTCCCTTCACATATGTTATCCCATTTTATCCTAATTGCAGCTCTGCACATTGGTTTTATTTTAACTCATTTTAGAGCTGGGCAAACCAGGGCAGCCAGGTTGAGAAAGTGAGGGTGGTCCTAAGGGGCAGAGCTGCAGTCTGGCCTGGGTCCAGCTCGTGCTATTTCCAGGACATCTGGAGTGCCTACAAGTTGTGGCCCTGTTGGCATCTGGTGTTACAATGTCAAGGACAGTGCCAGAGGGGCCCAGAGAGCTGGCAAGCAGCTAAGGCGCATGGCAGAAGTGCCTGGGCCTTTCTGGCTAACTTAGGGTTTTGACTCAGGCCTTTTTCTGCTGAACTCTCAGCTAACTTCCAGGATCCTGGAGAAACACACTTAACCTTTGCCTAAACGTGTTCATGCACACACATACACACACACCCCTGGAAAACAAGCAAATAAAATGCAGGGGCACCCAGAAGCAAGAGCAAAGGAAACCCGTCACCCTGGAGTGGTGTCCAGGGACCCGTTGAGGCAGCAGCCCTGAGCATTTGAGGGAAACCGTCTGATGAGGAATGACTCACTTACCTCTTAAGGGCCCTTTGCCTCTGCTGAGCCAAGAACTTAAATACTTAATACTAAAGTATTGTACTTATGGAAAAAGAAAGAGAGGGAAAAAATGTTAATCCTCCTTCAGAGAAGGAAAAAACTCTAAAAAACAAAGACAGAAAAAAAGAGTACACATTGTACTCCATAATGGCAGTGATGTATACAGTTATGGTCTAATAAAAAAAATAAAAAATAAGAAGGCATTGTGAGAAGTGCATGTGATCATGGAGATAGGGGCTCTTAGAAGAGTACCTGGTTTATGAGCTGAGATGTGTTTGTTAAATAAAATAAATAAATTTCCCATAGGAGTGAGATTTCTCAGGTACGGATGTAAAGTGGCTGCAGGGCTCCGTGGGTGGGGACAGGACAACTGACCCAGGTGCCAATTTGCTTAGTGTCTCTGTGGCTGCGGAGAATTCATTTAAGGACTTTGCAAAGTGGGGTGTGGCCGGTGCTCCCTCCACACACAGTGATGTGCTGAGCAGGAAAGGGAGGGAGGAAATGTAAAAATGAGCTTGGGAACATTTACAGCATGGGGTCCGTGAGGTCAGAATTCTCTGGGTCCCCGCCTGTGCTCACCACTGCAGAGTCAGAAAAGCTCATGCAGGAATCCTGGGACAGGAAAGTAGCTGGTCCTGCTGTCCTCACCCATCTGGCTGCACGGGCTACCCCTTTCCCTGGCATCCTTCATCTGGAACTCTGAGTTCACTGCACTTGGGAGGTCATAGGGCCCCTCAGCACCCAATGGTGCCAGGAACTAGAGGCCCCGATGCCAGCGTCCCCAGCAGGTGCCCACACTGAACGGAGCAGCAGAGGCCTACGCTGGGTCTGTCTCTTCCCTAAACAGCCACATTCATGGCTGGCTGGCTATGGCTCGTGGGTGGCAATCCTGAGATAATCAAGATTGGTTCTTCCGACCATGCCACCTAATGTGAGTGTAGGTAATATCAAATTCTCAGGGTGCCACGCAGACTGAAATGAAAGCAAACTGGAATTACTTCATTCTGAAGGGCTGCTTACTGAGTTGTGATAATGTACTTGGGTTTACGTTAGATTACTCTGCCACTGAGGTTTCACTCAGCCCACGATACGGCCCCTCCACCTGCCTGTTCCACACCGGTGCTCACACACGTCCTTATTCTCTCCTGTTTGTGGTTTCTGGGCATCTTTAATTTCAAGGTGTTTTAGCTTGACTCAGAACATGAGAGTCTTCAACCAGAGTTTATACGGGTGCATCTTGATGAAAATTTCCTAATTTATAACCAGCTTTTTTATTAGTGGTGATTTCTAACAGCCTACCATGTGCTCTGAACACTCATCAGTACAGGAAGTAGTGCCCAGGAGATAT